ATCTTATGATCATGTTATGCTTGTAGTCGTTTCTCTAAATCTGTGAAAGAGAATAGCTTAGACCGTCCCTCTACATGGATGTCAACTTTATGTTAAATATTGGTAGGACCGAACCTATGATGGTTTATACCCTAAATTGTTGTTTGTGTCTTGGTCTATGGATTTCTCTTATCACATAGGGTGTGATTTGTCCTTACCTTGTATCGAGGGTTTTACTAGCGTGTGTATAATTTCTCTGGTTGATATGCCTCTTGCCTTTTGTGCGATCCGTTACTCCAATATGCAGGTTATGTTCTTTATTTTTCGGATACCTTGTTCGTATGGGCGTGTATTACCATGATTGTTTTGTTACAGAGCATTCTTTTCTCATAATGTTTCCATTTATGGTGAGTGGTCTCATTGTAGGTAATGTTGTATCGAAGATTATATTGGCTTCGATTATCACCTTGTTTCACGGCTCAACAAATCAGTCTTCTTCTGCATTCGTAGCCTACATCGTGATTGGTTATAATGTCCTAGTTGCAGCTTCAATCTCGGGAATTAGGTTATCTAGTGTGCTCTTTGATTCCCGGAACGCCTTATCATTTAGCAACAATGGCGTTGAGTTCTTCCATGTCTTTTGGTGTTCAAGCGTTTGGCTCGCATCTATCTATTTTCTCAATGTTTTATGTTTTCCCTTTGTAGCATTGTTCTTGTTAGTCTTGATGGCGTTGATTTCATGGTTTATAAATATTTACTCTTTTATGGAGAGTAAAAGAGAAAATGGTCATCATCTATATAAATCTTCGTGACAAAAAAAACAGTATGTCATATGGTCATCTTCCCAAAAACCCATATTTCCTTTATAGTTTGTACTATAACTCATGAATTTAATAAGTTGTGATTTTTAAGGGTATTAGATCACATGTTTCCAATATCTAAACTAATAACAGCAAAACTTAATAATGTTTCGAATAATCAAATCTTAATTGTTGACAAAAAAAAAAACCATCAAATCTTAATTGTTGACCAAAAAAAAAAAATCAAATCTTAATTGAATAGCAATAGAATCTTTACAAATTTTAAATCTTTATATCTCCATCTAAGTAACACCTCCTAATTCAATCTCGTTTCAGTTTAAATACC